TAAACAATGAAAAATCCCTAAAGTCATATAAGTCTAGCTAGCAAGTTTTTCTTTTTTTGTATTATTAATTAGCTTTTCTTTATTTTTTTTGGCTTTATTTAGTATATTTTACAAATAATCTCTAATCTCTTTTTAGATTTTTTAGTCATTTCTCAGACCATTTTCTGAAGTAAGCTTTATTGTTTGGGATTTATTTTTTTCAATTTGACTAATTTTATCTTTAATTTAATTCTTGTTAAGCTATTTTCATTATGAACTATTGGATGCTTGCTTAAAACTGTGATGGCTGTTTTCACAAATATGTATGTATCTTGGTTTGACTAGTTTGTTCTTGGAGTACTTTGAGTAAGTCTTACTTTAACTTTACTTTATCTTGCTATGTTATTCACTTCTTTTTTTATAAATGAGAATAACTATATTACTCTAAAACTCAAGCATCTTGGCTAAGTGTTTTTTTTGATTTGGTGTTTTGTACTTCAATGGATATTCTGTCCCTTCTACTTTTATACAATATGTGCTAACAGTGTAGAATTCGAAAGTATCGATAGAATCTGATGATCTTCTAATGCTATTGTCTACTTCAAAGAGTAAGACAAAAAAAAACCAAACAATTCTATCTGGTAAAGGTTCTTAGTTCTCATTTAATTGATTGATGCTAATCAAGACTAAAAGAAGTGAGTACTATAACACAAATACAAAAACTTTTTTTATAACTATAATCCTAACAGGACACATTTATATACACAAATATAAGGAATTTCTTTGTAGCTATTGTCCTGACAGGCTATATACACTAATAATAATAAAACTTTATGACTGTTATCTTGACAGACCACTTTTATTTCAATGACAGGCTATCAACCTAAGCCACTGCAAGATCATGTATAAGGGTGGATAAAAAAACTAGTGTTATGGGTTAATCAATGACTTTCATCAAAGAAAAACCTAACCCTGATGGTAGGCACTAATAATTAGGTACCAAGCGAACAAACTCAACAAGGCAAATATTTACTTTATTACTCAAATGAACTTTATTTATTAAGGGTTTAATTTATTACAAGTGAAACTTACTAACCAAGACTATTATTACAATCGCATCGGCTATATACGGGTTATATTACTTACATCATAATTTGCTCATATACGATCATACGATCGTTTGACTCTTATATTACTCATAAATTACTTCATATTTTATGTATAATACTTCGACTGCATAATTGATCGTTACTTGATTCCCTAATTCCCAATCGATCATGTGCATCACATGCACAAGTCATTAATCGAATGATTGCTTATTCCCTTATACTCATACCTGTTTATCGCATACTATATTTCACAATGATACTAGTCAAAGTTAGGTTAGCAGAAAAAACAGAAATGAACTTTTTTAAGAAAAAACCTGCTTTCCTTAAACAAGCAATTACTATATACCCGTGATTGATTCGAGGCAATACAAAATATTGCTTGATATTTTCATATTGGACAGTATTATTGAATACAACAATTAAGTATTACCTGTTTTTAACTCTTATAACCTCTTTATGTGTGTACTATATGCAAAAAATTTAGGCATCAGTATTATTAATAAATGCCACTGTCATTTCAATACTTTAGTATCCCATTCATATTAAATATAGCATTTTTTCCTTGTATGGTTCTCTTCTCAAGCTAAATTAAGAGTTTTTTTAATACACTATACAGTGTTCTAATATATTTATTGAAGCTAAAAACATACAAACCTATGCGATTTCAGAGATTTTCATTGTTTGAACAACGAAAATTTCCTAAAATCATATAAGTCTAGACACTTTAATTGAAGTATGTACTGTATATTGAAGCATAATTAATAATATTGCTCAAATACCTTATATATATATATATGTAAGATATTTAATACTAAACTTTAATATTAGTAGCATAAAATATATATATATATATTGAACACTTATTATACTTTGGAAGATTTCATATTTTTTATATCATTCATATTCAAAATTGTAGTTTCGTGATCACGTGCACTATTGATCGAATCACAGGTTAATAATCTGAGATTATAAGAAAATAAGAAATTACACAGTAAAACCTCAATAAGTGCACTCTCTATAAGTGCACTTCTCTAAATACATGCTCAAGTTCTGGGCCAAATATATACATAAATGCACTTTCTCTTATTGATCGCATATTATTAAAGCTTGGTTCCAAGTGTGTGCACTTATAGAGGTTTTTCTGTACATATCCACTATATTTAGCTAATATAAAATACATGGTAAATTTATTTTTTTGATGTAACTAATGCAATATGCATATAATATATAACTTTTTTTGATCTAAATTTGACTTGTATTTATTAAACAATGCAGTGTAGTATTTCAATAATTGCTAGTTATTGTTATTATTATTTGTTAATCTCTAATTTTAGGTAAGACAAACTGGATTCTGTATTTTACTTTATTTTCTCTCCCCTTTGGAAGAGAGGAGGGAGGAGAAGAATTTATAGTTTACATAGTAAAATTTTTTCTGAATTGTTCTGTGACTGTATAAAATTTTCCCAAAATATCTCATAGCCCTATGTAAATTTTTTTACTATAAGGGAGAGGGAAATGTTGAGGGGGGTAATGTAAAACAGAATCTTGTTGGTCTCACTTTAATTGTACAGATATCATAATCGAAAATTTTTTTATTTCGTTTTAATTTGCATGAGTCTGGACATGCTAAAATAATATAAATATATAACTTTTGAACTTTCAACAAAATAATTTATTCTTTTCTCATTATAATTACATGTATATTCAAGTATTAAAAAAAAATACCTACTCATATAGCTCTTATTGTCGTTATTACTAACGTGAAAAGTAGTCACCTATGTTTACAAGGTTCTGCTAAATATAAATACCCAAATGAAACATTTCAAATAATTCGATGGAAATATTTTTTTCCTATAAATGAACCACTACAAGTAATTACAACCGGCGATATTGTATTTTTTTCTGGAAAATATATTATTGAAAATTCTGATCAGTGTCTTACTGTTGGATATGCAAGCATTCTCAGCACTAGAAATTCTAGTCACAAATCTAATATTATCAATATTCCCCCGTATATACCCTATTTTATGTTTTTAGCATCCATAACTCGTGTTCCAAAAAAAGTTAAAAGTTTTATTCATTTTGGAGTAGAATGTCTTGAGTATAATCCAGTTACTAGTACAGCTAATATTAAAATGCAAGTA